TTCGATTTCGTATTCGATTCGTTAACGAACTCATTTTTTTATTCTTATTCGATTCGTTTAGAATATTCGAACATATTCGATTCGATTCAAAATTCGTTTTCAAAAAATTTATAATTAAAAATATTATAATTACAAAAAATAATTTTTATTTTTCATATATTTTTAGGAAAATTTGTTAATTTATGATGGTTTTATTTTTATGTCATAAAAATAGTAAGAATATAACAATATATATATATTTATATACATATATATTATATACAAAATATATACTATATATAATTTATATAATTATTGTTAACGAATTGAATATTCGAATTTCGAATCGAATATCTACAAATTCGAATTCGGATTCGTTTAACTTTCAAATATAAAACATTATTCGTATTCGAATTCGAATATTTCGAATTCGAATCACGAATATCGAATTCGAATATTGAATCGAATAAAAAAATTTGATTTGTTTACAAGCCTACTTCTAACAAATAGATTTTATGAAGAATTTATTTTTTTATATTTTTGTTTTTATCTTTTTTAAAATTTTGGGCATGGGAGGTCCACGAGGTGCTACCACTTTGACCAAAGTGGTTCTATGTTTTTTGAAATTATTAATTAAGTAATTCGAAATTAAAGTGACACAGAATGTGAAATTCTCAATAAATTCCATATATCATCACTTCTATTTCAATTTTTCATTAAAGAAGTTTCTAGATATTGACATGAAAGCGAATTTGATAAAAGGAAAGCTAACTTTTACACTAGAATATATATCATTTAATTTTAAACAAAAACAATGAAACCAAAACATTTTAATTAATGAAATAATTAAGGACAATATCTTAATAAAATTTTCATGCATGTTAGATTATACTTTTTCAATAACTAGACAAAATTCAAACAAAAAATTATACACTATAAAAGATAAAATAAATCAGAGTCGGCTAAAACGCAAGTATTCTTCTCTAGTGCTGTGGAGGAGGACAGGCGCCGGGAGCTTTCTAATCGTATGGGCTACACAAGGGTTGAGGATTTGGGCACATACTTGGGCATGCCCTTGATTCACAAACGAGTTACGACAGCTACTTATGCGGGAATTTTAGAGAAGGCGGAACAACGATTGGCGGGGTGGAAGGCCACGTCTTTATCGGCGGCGGGAAGATTAACGCTCACCCAGTCGGTCTTTTGCTCGCTCCCGTATTATGCTATGCAGACTGTGGCTTTACCTTTGACTATTTGTAGTCGAATCGATCAGTGTGGCCGTGCATTTATCTGGGGTAGCTCATCGGAGCAACGGAAACCGCACTTGGTGTCGTGGCCGGAGATTTGCCAACCGCGTGAGTATGGGGGCCTCGGGCTTAAGCAATCAAAACTAATGAATGAAGCGCTTCTAATGAAACTCGGTTGGACGATGCTAACAAAACCAAATACGTTGTGGGTTCGTGTTTTACGTGCTAAATATCGATTGCGACCAGATGTAATGCATGGTATTTTTCAATTTCCTGATGGATCGGTGTGCCTCAAAGTCGTTGCGAAGATCTGGCCGCATGTCATGAGAGGTGTGCGTTGGGCTTTGGGGAACGGGCAGAGAGCGCGCTTCTGGCTAGATGTGTGGCTACACGATTCAGAACCGTTAATTACCAAGACGACTGAGCAGGTACCGGAGGAGATCCTTCATGCCCCGGTGGCAGAATTTGTGACGGCGACGGGCGCCTGGTGGTGGGCGAAATTCGAGAAACTTCTGCCGGTCAACTCTCTCCTTCTAATTGCGGCGGTTATACCACCATGTGCGTCGGCTAGGACAGACCAGATAGTATGGGGATATACGCCGTCTGGTGTTTTTTCGACCAAGTCAGCATATGAGGCCTTGATGATGCGGACACCGGGATGTTCTAATCCGTTATGGAGATTGATATGGCGTGCGCCGATCTCTCAGCGTGTACGTCATTTTCTTTGGTTGGCTAGCCGGGAGCGATTATTTACTAACAAGGAAAGAGCTCGACGACATTTGGCGGAAAGAGATGCATGTTATTTTTGTGGACAGTCCGAATCGACATTACATGTTCTTCGATATTGTACTAATGCGCAGCACGTTTGGAACAAACTGATTCCAAATTCCATCAGACATACGTTTTTCACCCATGAAGCTCGTGAATGGATTTGTTTTAACCTGAGCGATGTCTCCACGGCTGGGGTGGAAGGTTGGGCAACTACCTTTTCCGTAACATGTTGGCGCATCTGGAGTAGGAGAAATATAGCGTTATTCTCCAATAGGACTGTTCCTCTTGGGCTCAAAATTCGAGATATAAGACGTCGAGTGGAACAGTATTTGAGTATCACGGAATCGGAGGCGAAATTGGGAATTAAGAAGCACCGATATGAGGAGATTATGATTCATTGGACTCCTCCCCCGTTGGAGTGGATTAAAGTTAATACGGACAGGGCTCTCTGTAGTACTACCGGTAGGGGTAGTGCTGGAGGTTTAGCTCGGGACTCGAATGGGTGTTGGCTTGGTGGTTTTTTTATGAATGTGAGATTTTGCACCATTACTAGAGCGGAACTATGGGGTCTTTATCATGGACTTCGCTTGGCTTGGGATCTGGGAGCGCACAAAGTGCTAGTGGAGGTTGATAATAGTAGTGTTATTACCATGGCGTTGGGAACTGAGGTTAAACTTGGCCTCCATGAGTCTATTATTCAGGGTATTCGCGAATTACTAAACAGGGAATGGTGTGTGCGGCTGTCCCATATTTATCGGGAAGGAAATTTTGCGGTTGATAAGCTAGCGGCACTAGCGACTGGAGTTCCGGTTGGACTACATCATCTTCCCTCCCCGCCGAAGGCGCTCGGCCATTGGCTGGGTCATGATATCTTAGGTGTGGCTCACCCACGTAGGGTGTTGATCTAGTTTTTATTTAGGCTTCGGCCTCCTTTTTTGTACCAAAAAATATATATATATATATACATTTTTATTGATAAAGTACCACACGTGTGACAAATCTAATATGAGAATTTGTGTTTTCAACTTCAGGAAGATTAGTAAATATTGAAATGTTGGCAAATTATAAATATTAATCAGATAAGGTGTGCATCTTTTTTATCGAATGATGATATTACAATAATGCAGCACAATAATTCGTTAATACAATCGACATTGGACTATGGGCATTAATTAAATATATCAGGCGACTTTATGGAAATATATATAATAATTATAGCAGATATAATTATTTTTCATAATAGCCGGCCTATATATTATCTGCAATCTGGAGCTAGGGTCCACGTACTTTTTTTTTTAGGTCACGCCCATATTATTTCATAATAAGATTATTCATTTTAGGTCACGTAGAGCCGAGCCGTTCACTGGTATTATCGAACAAGGTTGATTTTTTTTACCTACTCGAGCTCGATTTATGACGCTCGAGATTAACTCGACAAAAAAAAACAACTGCTCGAACTTGATTCGAGATCGATTAAAATCAAAATGCTCAGCAAATTGCTTGAGGTTGGCTCAAGTTTGACTCAAATTTTAAGTAAAAATTAGCAATGAGTACATGCATAAAATATTATAATATTTATATATTATGGGTGTTTCAATAATTCACTATATATCTCGAGCCGCACTCAAATCGCTCGACTTTCCAAAATTTATGCTCGAGATCGACTTGAGTATATGTTCGATCTGCTTGAGCTCAGTTCGAATGCGGTCAAACTTGAACTCGAGCCGAACTTTGATTCATGCGCTTGCGAGCCACTCAATTCGTTTGCAGTCCTATATGATGTAAATGGACTGAGAAATATAGGATCAAATCCTATTTATTCTCGGACCAAAACAAATCGGTTCTATAGTTTTTGACCCATTTAACATCGTGAAACCGTCGTGTAATAATAATAATAACAATAATAATAATAAGAAAAAAAAAAAGAAAAAAAATGTGAGATTTGGGAGTGGAATAAATACAAGGGCATGGTTGTAAATAACACCTGCTCAATTTATTCTGCTACCTGAAAAGATCCCAATTTATTCCCATCCGACGTATCATTGTTCGAGCTTTGAAAACGGTGGCGTTACCATTTTTCTCAGACTGAGAATCACACACACACACACAGAACCAATCTGCAGAGGAGCCTGATTGAAGGTATACTTCATCTTATTCTTGTATTTTTTTTTTCGTTTGTTTTTCCTTCCGATTTTCGTTAAACCTAGTTCTAGCAGCCGTTTGTATTTCTACTTATTTTGCGGCATTTTGATTCGATCGACGTTTTTTTTTTTTTTTGTTCGATTTCGTGTTCGAAAGCATGTTCGCATGATTGTTCGATTTACCTGCTATGGAAACAGTTAATCAATGGCTTGTATTGAGATCTACCAGGATATAGCTCATCCTCCAGTAATGGATTGAATGTTTTGATGAGTAGATTAGAGGTTTGGAGTTGAAATAATGGAATATGTATTGCTTTACAGTATATACGTAGATTACTACTTGAAGAAAATTGCGTACTTATACTGATATTGATAGATTGGGTCAGAGAGTTTCAGATAAATTAGGTGACGTGCGTTCGGAGAATAAGCTGAAGTGTTTGCTATAGAACCTGATAGAATATAGAGTTTCAGTGCTGTTTTTTGTGAAGAATGTTGAAGTAGCAGTGATTGATGATTTGGAGGGTTTTTCTTAGTCATTATCCCGTGTTTTCGAGTCCACTACATATAATGTCGTAATTCATTTTCGTAGATTTGAATTTCCAATGTATTCATTGACCTTTCTTCATCGTCTATGTAAGATTGTGAAACTTCGGGGTAGGCATTTTTGGGAAAGCTGAATGTTTGACTAGGGTGTAGATATTACATCATGTGAAATTATTACTTATTATTCTGCATAATCTTGTATTGTTATTGATTTTTTCCTGTGACCATTGTTTGGGACCGTGTTCTGCTGTTTTTGTAGTATTTTTTTTTCTCATTAATATTGTTATTATCTTTTCTGTAGACTTGTGTGGGAGGGAAAATGTCGGGCACGGAGGAAGTCAAGGAGCAAACAGAAGTTGTAATGGAGAACACTGACAAGCCCACTCCATCAGCACAACAGGAAGTTGTATTCAGTTCAAATTTTTCGTGGGATGAGTTTTAGTCATATCAATATTCATAAAAGATGTAATATTTTTTTTCCCTGCAGGAGGAAGTTATAAAGAAAAAATATGGTGGGATAGTACCTAAGAAACCGCCGTTGATATCTAAGGTATAGTTACAAGCTTCTTTTGTTCTTTTATTGGAAGTCTTGAGGATTCTTCTGAGGAATTAATTTAATGTTAGGATCATGAACGTGCCTACTTTGACTCTGCTGATTGGGCCCTGGGAAAGGTAAGCACTTTCATTGTCATTTGTTTTGTGAATTCGAAGCTTTTAATAAAAAAAAAAAAATCATAAAACTGTGATATGTAATTTGTTGTATATTTGTTCATGCTTTATGCTGCAGCAAGGTGCAGCAAAGCCTAAAGGACCACTGGAGGCTCTCCGGCCAAAGCTGCAGGTAGTTCTTAATAAGTTAACTACGAGGAATTTGATCTGCATTACAAGTTCATATAGCTCCAAGGCTACCACTGACTTCAATTTTCTTGTTGGTATAACATGGTGGATTTTTCACATATTATTTGTGAAACCACCATATATTCACTCCAACAGTTATAGATTCCATTTTTTGGTGTTTGTGTAATTGTCTTGGTTACAAAAATATGTCTCACTTTACAATGGCAATGGCACAAATAGCTCGACACTTATATTGTTGACCACAACCGACATGTCACCTACAACATCTTACTGGAAACTTCATATTGAACTAAAAGAGCTACTATATGTATATTTGTATGGGAGGGCGAGAGGTTGGGTTATTGTTTGAATGAGACTTTGCATTAGAAATGAAAACATGTTACATATATGCTCAATAGAGTTATGGAAAATGCATGTACTGATATATGATCGACACACTCCTTCTCACTTACCTAAGGACCCATTCTCATACCAACAATATATATAGTTGACATTCATTCTCACTTACCTAAGGACCTATAATATATATATATATATATATATATGTGTGTGTGTGTGTGTGTGTGTATATATATTTTGAAATCAATAAGTGGAAACCGAGTCACTAAGTTAATGTTCTCAATGGTCCATATGCCTTGTATTTCTTGTGAAAATCGTCCGTTGAGCCTTCAATTCAGATTAGTTGCATTTTATCGTTCCCTTTTTGGCCTTCTGGTGACTCATTTTCTCTCGTGTTCCCTTTCATTTTTCAGCCAACTCAGCAGCAAACACGTTACCGTAAATCTCATTATGCCCCATCAGAAGGTGAAGGTATGCCTGGTTCTAAATCTTTATTTAGGAGCATGCATCTTTCTACGTTTAGTATACTTTGGGTTAGTTTTTTTCCCTGTTTCAATTACATTTTATGAGGCAATATTTTATGAAATCCAACCCTAAGTTTGATCTTAAACAAGAAATTTGAGTTAGATTTGCAGCTACCGCTTAGATACCTCACTTTTGGAAAGTAAAGTTGTGATAGAGAAACAAGTATCAACGTGTGTTGATTATTTAAAAGCACAAGTAGGTTCATTCTATTTTTATCTTCTTTGTTGCTTGCTTTCTTCAATGGGCTAAACATGTGATGTAAGTTGTATATGATTAGCCGTTCAAGAAATGGTAATGGAACTGGACGGCCTGATATTTTACTATGGCTCTATTATAATTTGCATGAAAGAATTTTATTTTTTATTTTTTTGGTAACTTTTTGTTTGCTCTACTGGCATGTAGATGGAAGTGGTACCCAACCCGAAGATATGACTGCCAATGAATGAGAAGAACATGTCAATCCTTTGATCTTGTGGAAGTAATTTTACGCTGAAAAACAAAAAATGTGCAAGAAAAAGGAGATGTTTTAGGACCATAAGGGAAGAACTCACCTATATGTTTTTACTTGGTGCTGTATTTCCCCAGATTTAAGTATTTACTGGGCTTGTTCCTGTTGTAAACTATTTTACTGTTGTTTGTCGACTCTGAGTTCAGAAGTTGTTGAGGTTTACAAGTGCAAGTTTGAGATGTCGAACTATTTTCATCGACCATTTCGTGTGATGGGTGTTTGTTTTTGTTCAAGTACATTTGAACGTTAAAATGGTTCAAGTATTTATATACCTTGTTTCCCATTGGACTGCCTACCTTGTTCAGTCTATGTATATATTGGTCATTGAGAATATCGTCCTAATCTATGTATGTGATGTCCACCATTTTTGAACAAAAGTTCAGCTGTGTTCTGAATTATTCATTACACCTTACCCCTTGCCAAACATGGCCTTTCGGTTTGCATTTCCGTAATGTAGGATCGAATTTTCTTGCTTTTTTTAACAAGTGTAAAACGTAACGGAACGAGAGAGAGAGAGAGAGAGAGAGAGAGAGAGAGAGAGAGAGAGAGAGAGAGAACAACAAATGCATACATGTATATATCCATCTGACAGCCCCAGTCACAAGCCCTCACATTTTTCTCACGTAGTCTCGTTAAACAAAACCCACAAACTAAAAATAAACAACAATTTTCAAGCAAACGGTAGATATGTGGCTGATCATTTTTTCTTTTTTTCCTTTTATGTTTGTTTTTTCCCCTTGCAGTTCGATCCCATTTTTTCAGAGATGGAACATCGCGTGTAAAACTGTATGCCACTATCTGTACCGGAATCCCATGTCTAACTCATAACCACGCATCACGTCCGGGTTATGATTTGGGGCGCGTGGATGGGTTTGCTTTGAGTTTGCCCGCAGTTCCATTTCCACTAGCCTCTGGAAAGCCTCGGGCTGGTTGCCTGCAGAAATGAATATTGGAGCTCAAATGTAATGATGAAAATTGAAAATTGATATCGATATTACCATGGCTAAATTATGATTGAAATGAGAGATGCTGAGAAACGTGAGTGAAAGTGCTATTAAATTAAACGAGTCTGGCTCGGCTCGGCTCTGGCTCAGCTCGTTAAAGGCTCGAGTTCGGCTCGGCTCGTTTGATAAACAAGTCGAGCTTGAGCTCATTTAAAGCTCGTTTGGATAACGTGCCGACATCGGTTTGGCTCGAAAAGAGAATTTTTATATAACATTCTATAGTTCAAATCGTTAAAGCTCGAGATCGGCTCGTACTCGGCTTGTTATTAGTGGTAAATGAGCCAAACTCGAACTCGAACTCGATTTTAGGCTCGTTTATTTAACAAGCCGAGCTCGGCTCGGCGGCTCGAGCTTAGGGCCTAGAGTGAATGAATAGCGGAAATTGTTGGGACGTGCATAATGAATATTGCTTGGACAACAAATAAGTGGGTTAACAATATATTTCCTGAAACTTTTCCATAACTGCATGCATGTCAGGGTAAAAGATATTCTAAAGTGAGACAAAAAATGAACATCGTTCGATATCCAATGGCATTAGAGGAAAATCTAAGGAGGAATTTTATATTATTTTACATGTAAATGGAAACTCTAAAATGCTAGTAAATTAATGTATTTAAGTTGCTAAGCAGCATCAACGTTGTTTCTCTCCCAGGTCTAACTTAGCATTCTCAACCAAGCAAAAACAGAAAGAAAAAACAAGTTTTTACCTGATACCCGAAGCAGTAAATTATACGGTTTTTATTTTTTACCTGATATCGGCATCCCACGGCCATCAGCATTTGGTTGGTGGGACCCAAACGGAAAACCTTGCGCTTGGTTCATATCTTGGAAAACCTCATTTCCTTGGTTACCATGCTGTGGTCCCGGAAAACCTCTCGGGAAATGCGGAGTGTGGCTGCCCGGCATTTGCATCTGATGCATCAACGCATTCTGGGGAGGAATATCAAATCCCGCAACCCTAACATTTGGGTGTTGAAAAGAAGGCCGAATGATATTTGGAGTAGTTTGAGTATTCACGAGAGGATCGTGATTCAAAATCGGATCAGAGTCCAAGAACTTCGACTGAGAGCCCATATAAGCAAGATGTGAAGAATTCACGTGATTATACGGTAGGGGCCTTGCATGAGGCATTTGTGGGCTAGGCTGAAATCGTGGTGAAGATTGCTGCAACTGCATATTGCGATAAATTGCAGGATCCATCTTTTGGTGAGAAGAATTGAATAATGGGAAGGGAAGGCTTCCTGTACTCTCCATGCCAAGTTTCTCTTTTATGTTGATGGTTGCATTTGAGGAAATGCTTGAGCTGTTAACTGAGTATAAGTTTTCGTCTGGCAGCTGAAAGTCAAACCCCTTGGACGGAGTTT